CGATTAATCGAAAAAAATAATCGTTAGATTAATCGATTAGAAAATGATCATTTGGTACAGCACTAATAAACACCCAGAAAAGCTGCTGGTGTCTCTGGGCCTGAGCTCATATGAGATGGACTGACACAAAGTGGAATAATGTCTTGTGGTCTGACAAGTCCACATTTCAGATTGTTGGAAATCATGGTCTTTGTGTCAATCCGGGCCGATGAAGAAAAGGACTGTCCAGGTTGTTATCAGCACAAAGATAAAAATCCAGCATCTCTGATGGTATGGGGTGTGTTAGTGTCTATGGCATGGGTAACTTGCACATCTGTGTAGGCACCATTAATGCTGAAAGGTACATACAGGTTTTGGAGCAACATCTGCTGCCATTCAAGCCACATCTTTTTCAGGGACATCCCTGCTTATATCTTTAAGACAATACCAAGCCACATTCCGCACGAGTTAAAACAGTGCGACTTTGTAATAAGAATGCGGGTACTAGACTGGCCTGCCTGCAGTCCAGACCCATCTCTCAATGAAAATGTGTGATGCAATATGATGCGCAAAATATGACAAGGAAGACCCCAGACAGCTGAACAACTTAAGTTAATACATCAAGCGAGAATGGGAAAGAATTCCACCTACAAAGCTTCAACAATTAGGCCGTCTCTCAATTCAAGGACTGCAGACTACCTAGATCGTGGCGCATGCAGGCCACAGCCCATGCAGTTCAGGTAGGCTGCATAAAACTGCTGTGAAATGAGACTGTCTAACCTTTGTTTGACTTATGTTTGCGTGACCAATATGCTGTACCCGCCAGTAAACTGTTTCACGGGGGACACTTTTTCTTGCAGCACTACTCCATGCAGGGAAGCACACAGAGCAAGTTAGTGTCATTGTTGGAACAGCCTTCTCAATAATTAGCGGCGGGTGGCAATTTTGCAACATGTATTGAGAAAAAAAACAACAAAAACTCCAGTTTTCGCCATCGCTGAATGTAGTACATCTCTTCAGTGAAGTACACATAGATTTCATGTGCAAAGTAAATTTGCCGGATAATGAGCTTTGCTCAACTCTCCACCTTCACAACTGAGCTAATTGAAAACCCCCATGTCCCCAAAATGAGTCACTAATGTCTACAATCAGGCAAACAAGAACAGACACTAGGAGGGAAAATATGACACAGAGGTACAGTAAAAGAAAAAAGTCAAGAAATAACTTCTGTGTTGCAGAAAGAGTGTAACTTCAGCTGTCTGTGGTTTGATGATCATTGTGCAATGTTTGTACATTGTACATAGCATCAGCCTGAGCTGTGATAAAAAAGAAAAATTACCATCAAATACTGTGATACTTGGATAATTATTGAAAATATAGGGATTTAACATTTGAGTCATATCACCCTTCACTAGAACATGGTCAACACAGATTCAATGTTCCATGCCTTTACTGGGATACAGCTGAAGCTCTCTCTATGAAAATGGAACCATAAATTCTGCCGTTTAACAAAAAAACCTGAAGGAGAATGTCCGACTATTAATGACCTCAAGATGAAGCACACTTGGATTCCGCAGCAGGTCAATGAGCCAAAACAAACCAGCAAGTCCACCTCTAAATGGCTTAAGTAAAACTAATTTAAGACTGGAGTGGCCTAGTCAAAGGCCTGACCTAAATCCAATTGAGATGCTGTGGCATGACTTCAAAAAAGATGGGTCATGCTCAGAAACTCTCCAGTGTGGATTAATTACTACAATTCTACAAATATGAGTGGGCCAAGATTCCTCTGCAGCGCTGTAAAATACTCACTGCCAGTTATCGCAAATGCTTGACTGCAATTACTGCAGCCAAGTGTGACCCAAACAGCTATTTGGTTTGAGGGCAATCACTTTTTCACACAGGGTCCTGTAGGCTTGGATATCTTTTCCCTTAATAACAACTGATCTTTGTTTATGAACTGCATTTTGTGTTTACTTGTTTTATCTTTGATATTTAAATTTGCTTGGTGATCTGAAACACTTAAGTGTGACAAACACGTAAAAGAATAAGAAATCAAAAAGGGGGAAAACACCTTTTATCACTAATGTACACTCACCGGCCACTTTATTAGGTACACCACGCTAGTAACGGGTTGGACCCCCTTTTGCCTTCAGAACTGCCTCAATTCTTCGTGGCAT